CATTCTACTAGGCCAAACGCTTCAATAACACTTACAAAAAGACGAAAGACTATTTGGTAATTACATGATCAACAACTTCTCGAAAAAACCCACCGCTTTTTCGTGACTTCCAATGAGGAAGTTTAGAACAGCTGATTATAGTTGCATGTGGTTGACGACTGCACCATCCCACATCAAAAATCAATGCGAACGTACGAGATCAGGTCGCGTATGACCTCCGGGCATTCATCCCTGCTATTCATTCATTTGGACTCTAAAACACCAGCGCGAAAACTCCTTGAGGCTTTTTGGATCAATGCCAAAAACCCTACAATGAATAGCACGGATGAATGCCCGGAGGTCATACGCGACCTGATCTCGTACGTTCGCATTGATTTTTGATGTGGGATGGTGCAGTCGTCAACCACATGCGACTATAATCAGCTGTTCTAAACTTCCTCATTGGAAGTCACGAAAAAGCGGTGGGTTTTTTCGAGAAGTTGTTGATCATGTAATTACCAAAGAGTCTTTCGTCTTTTTGTAAGTGTTATTGAAGCGTTTGGCCTAGTAGAATGTATATCAGTATACCCTTCCAGGCTCTGAAGAAGGCGATACTGCCGAAACGTCAGCTAGCGTTGTATTGTATTGTGTTTTTTATGGAAGTAAATGTATGCTGTTTAAAAACCTCGCGATTGCTGAACAAGAAAACGACACATTCATATTCCAATGCCGAGGTTAAGAGGAAGTCGATCCTGGGAACTACTACCATTAGCAATCACCCGTCAACGGAATTGATATAAGGAGCCCAAATCCACAACGAACCCAGTTAAGCTGAGGCTATAGTTGAAATTCACAGTGTTCACTTTTTATTTACTACCTTTTACAAATGCTGATAGCAGTGATCGATAGAACTAGCCGAGAGACAAGTCAAACGAAGGACCTGCATGGTGTGGTGGTGAACACGTTAGCCCCTGGAAAGGGTAATAGCGCGTTCGTTCCCCACCGCAGACACCTGCGGTCCGGAGTTTTGCAAATACCTCAGTATTATTGTAGTTGTCTCACAAATAATACCTTGCCGTGGAAACTTGTTAGAGGCAGTAAATAAAAAGTGAACATATATGGTTTTCGTTGATTTTAACCACAGAACAGACGTTGACAGCTTGTTAGTTTCCGTAGTGAAGGTGGAAAGAGTTAGTAGTTCTCTTACACGTTCCACAGATTTTTTAAAAAAGCGACTAAATGGAATAAATAGACGCTATCGCTATTTTTTACAGAACACCCACTTGTTCGCCACCGCGCTTGTTTCAAATGATACATCTGCAAGAAATCACACGGCAGAGCTTTGTCAGCAACCTGTGCCTTTGACTCGCCAAAAAACAGTGAAAAATGAAGGGTTCTATACGGAAAGTGTTATGTATGCTCTTCACATCCATCTGGTGGTTGAGATATCTGAGGATGGGTGGTTCATGTCGTAGACAAAACGGAAGCGCTTCATTGATGCTAATTTGTTAAGTCACTCGACGACTAACGCATAACAGTTTACCCAATTGAAGTAAGCATTAGATTTGGCCGATTTGCTTTTTACTTGCCATTGTTTTGGAAAAATTAATAACACAAATTACTTAAAACAAAAGACACCGTACTTTAAGGACATTGAGTGTATTTCTTTCATGCAAATATACATAAATGAGTGAAGCTGTAATGAAGACTAAAACGACTAGCTCTGTCCCAATCATTCCGACTTTACGATTCCTTTCCGTACGCTCCCAATACCTGAATGTTACGTGTGTGGGATGTAAGGCCATTCCTCGTTATCGAACAGGCATTAAGTCTTCTACATACAAAGAGCGTCCGAAGCCCCTAGACGTTGTTGTCGTACTTCCCAAGGTGTAATCTTAGTGACAACCTATAGAGAAGAGCTGTTAGCGTCTGGTTCTGTCGTCAAGAGCACAGCACGCAGCCAACCGACTTGATGGTCAGACTTCTTCGCTAAGATCGTAGATGTAAAATATACTGCTCAAGGAATCCATAGGTCGAACAGAGTCTAATAGCCTATTCTTGCATGAGATAGGAACAGCTGAAGCTTTGCTAACACCTAATCCGGCTAATAGACAATCGTCAAAAGGATAATTCCTATAGATGAATAAATAAATGAACAACTAACCAGTGAGTGCTATTTCGAAGTCTATGCCACAGACTCCATATGTTGCATACTTAGACCACAGTTGAACGGACAACTTAGTATTTCGATCTTCATGGATAAATCTATTATGAACTATTCTTTAAACACCAGGAAGAAAGTAGACATAATAAGTCGCGACATGGATGAAACCTAACCGAACATAGATATGGTGCTCTTGTGAACCGAATCGTTTCGCCGTAGAAATCGGATTGATTCCTCTTAATGGAAAAGCAAATCATTGCCTAAGGACATAATAAAAACTGGAATAGAAAGTTATCAAATCTGTAGATAGGTGAACTCCCCCATTTTTTTCTCGTTGAGTAGTTAGTTCCCCTAATTTTCGCTGAGCTGAGATAAAAACAAAAGAATGAATGGTAGCAATTCCCAGGACCGACTTTCTGTTAATCTTAGCATTGATTGATAATCTGGTGTTTTTCTTCAATAAACAGACACGAGGTTGTTACTATAGAATTTATTAGAATACAATAGCTGACGTTTCGGCGGCTTCGCCTTCTTCAGAGCCTGAAAAGGGCAAATTGAGATGCGATCTACTCAGCCAAACACTTTCATAACCATAGCAGATGAAACTTAACAAATAAATTTGCTTCCACAGAAGAAACAGCTTCATTTAAACACCCACCTCTTATTCGTTGTGAGTAATTCAGTTAGTTAGTGGATACCAGTCGCACAGAGTAATACATGGGCGAGGACTGTGCCTGTGTCAGGTCATTGAATCAACCTGAGGTATGGCGCCAGGTCGGCGTGTTGACAAGGCACTCCTTGCTGTCCATTTTTGAATTTTTGGAAATGATCCAAAATGCTTCAAAAGTTTTACGCGCTGATGTTTTTGATTCCTGCGTGAGGATAGTGACTCTACTTCAAAATCTTCTCCGTTGTGTTCCTGCATCCTATGCGCGCCTAGTGGAGTATTTTGTTTTAATTTAGATTTACCGACTAGGTGTTCTTTTATGCGGACGCAGAGCGGTCTACCCGTTTCGCCAACGTATTCGTCCCCACACGTTTTACAAGAGATCGGACAGACTGTACCCGAACTCATGCATTCACCGTCAGCATTGTTTTCGCTAGAATTATCGCTGTAGAGCGTGGTTTTTCCTCTGTGCCTATGCCGAGTGGGTACAGTTTCGTAACTATTTGAAATGGCTATTTGGCGCGCCAGTTTCGTGGATTCTTCCCTCTGCTGTGCAGACGCTGGCGGCGGTTCGAAACATGTTTCTTATAAGCGCTCTTTTACTATTTGAGGGATGAGAAGAGAGGTAATGAACCACTGTATTCTTACTGCTTGGTTTTCGATACCATTTTGTGTTGTAGGCGTTTTCGGATAGGTTGATTTGAACGTTTAGAAATGGAAGCCAGTTTTCTTTTGGTTTCTCACGGATAAATTTTGTGTACTCTGACTGTTCGTTCAATAACTCAAAGCATTTGTCTGTTTCCCCTTGTGTGGAACCAACAGTAGAGTAATGGCCTGCGATCGATTACTGGTGCTTCCACTCTAGACATAAAGGCAACGGGAAGGGTTGGTGTCAGCCGCTGTCCCATTCCCAACCCTCTAATTTGAGCGTAATATTTCCCGGACCATTTGAAGATCGAGCAGTTTAAACAGACCTTTAAGAAGACCATAAGTTGCTGAATTGAAAAGGTATACATGTTAACTGCTCCTTCGTGTTGCTCAAGAAGCTCGCGGATGGCTTGCATTGCGGAGTCATTCGACACGTTAGTATAAAGGGCGGTAACGTCGAACGACTTCATAACGTGCGCGCTGTTGGCACGTGCGTTGCGCAGACGGTCTAGGAACATTTGGGTGTTCGCGAGATAGGCTGGTATGTGCTTATGCAACTCGTATATCCATCAACTAACTTAAACACTTACGACAAATAAACGGTAGGTGTTTGAATGGAGTTGTTTCTTATGCGAATGCAAATCGATTTGTCAAGTTTTATCTGCTAGGGTTATGAAAGTGTTTGGCTGGTAGATCGCATCTCAATTTGACCTTTCCAGGCTCTGAAGAAGGCGAAACCGCCGAAACGTCAGCTATTGTATCCTAGTAAATTCTATAATAACAACCTCGTGTCTACTTATTGAAGAAAAAAATCGAAGAATGAATGGTTTCATATATTTCACCTTTTTTCGTCTTTTCCTGCCAAAGTGTTTAAGAAACATTAAGCATAGAATCATTTTTATTTATTGATTAATTTGAGCACTAATTAAAAACGTCATCAGAATCACCCTGAATGATTATAATCCACAAAGCTTAGAAATTCACTAGTTTTCAGTTGGGCAAAGAAAACATTTAAGTAAAATAAAACTGAGTGAAGAACCAAAATATAGAAAGAGAAGATAACACAGTGTTAACTTTTTATTTGCTGCCTACCACAATTTTTCACGGCAGGGTACTATGGGTGTCTGCGGTGGGGAACAAACACGCTATTACCCTTTCCAGGGGCTAACGTGTTCACCACCACACCATGCAGGTCCTTTATTTGACCTGTCTCTCAGCTAGTTTTCTATTATATTTCAATTAATTTTTTCTAAAGAGAAGATAATTTTAGAACTTTTCATTGGCTCGCCATTGTTGGCAGTATTAACGCAAGGCCAAAATTTCACTTTTCATTATTCCGCGAGTTTTCGTTGATTTGACAATCTGGCCCATCACGAGATGTGAGAGTTTTCAGTGGCCTTAGAATTATCGAAATCTAAGTGAAAGTTTTATGATTTCTGGATTCCAAAACATCTAGACATTTTAATACATAATACAAATAACTTCTACTGTAAATGTTAAATTTGATTGAAATCCATCTTTAAGAAACATATTGGAATTTAGACAACATATGTTACTTGTAACTGTACTCGCCATCTTTTCAACCACTGCATTCGGCCGATACTGCGTTGACGACAGGAAGGTGAGTGTCTGTTCCACCCTGCTAACGACTAGAGACACCTTCAGGACCCAAAAACCACACTGCTTCCCTCTAGAACGGAGAACTCGTACCTGTCCATTCTTATCCTCGATCCATTCTTTGGTTTTTCAAGAACAACTTCATTTCGCCATATCGATTATCTCTTATTGCCTTTAAAGGGTTTTTTTTAAAGGAATGGTGTCGTGGACACGACATTTGGGGTTGGTGCTTCCATAATAAAACTGATGGTCGGTTCAATTGTGACGATGATGGCTTCTGCAGTGGACAAGAACAACTGAAGAACAAGAAAAGCACCGGTTGCTTTTTACGTGGTAACAATACCGTTTGCTGTTGTAACGAAGCGGTGAGTTCAAAGAGGATGGTAGATGATTATTGAAAAAGAGAGGCAGGGAGTCATAAAGGGATTGAAACGGAGAAGGAGAATGATACATGGAGGCGGAGAGGCGACATACAGAGAAAGAGAGAAAGATAGGCTAGGAACAACTGACTATCAATATCGTCATGGTACTGTACAAGTAAATATTCTATTAATGAAAAAATCCAACAGCGAAAACACTGAACGGTTGAGCATTAATAATTGATCTATACAAAAAAGGTGTACGAATCGCCTGATTTGCTTGCCTAGACTTTATAGAAAAATACTTTAGTTGCTGCAACTCTCCCAAAGATCCCTTTTAGCACAAGAAAGCAATTCCGCCCACAATTTCTTACGAACGAGCTTTAATCTGGTAGAATTGAATCCACTAAAAACCCCCCTAACTCACTATGGAATGCTATCGTATGTTGAAATAAAAAATGTTTACATCAACTGAATTCAGGATGGCTGCAACCTGGGTTTCATACCTATCACGCCCAAGTACATTGTTGGACAAGTACGCCTCAATTTATTTAGTGGTTATTGACTTTCCTAATGTTGTTTATGACTCTGCTCCTATCAACGAATCAATAGCGGTATTTATAGCAATGCACAAACACAGTGGAGAAACCAAACGAGGATTTAAAAATATTCAAAGCATGTGATGATCCATGGTGTTTTGCCTTTCTGAGTGCTGTAAGTGGCTTATTCCTAAACTCAGACTTAGTACTTATCACTTATCGATGTGGCACGAATATCCATGTCAATGTTCAGGATATTAGCGGTGGATTGACGACAGTGCAACGAGGTTGTCGATCACGTAAAACACTTATGCATCATATTTCAAAGGATGAACACGAGGTATAGTCAAAATCTCAGCACAAAAAGCAACCAAAGTACCTCAGAGTTTAGAAAGACAGATTTTCAAGCTTCTTTTTTTCTTGTAGAAGCACAATAACAATACAAAATGGTTGGAAACTGAACGCCTTGTTGGATTACCGTCGTGTACTGACATAACATGGAATGCCGAATATACAAACGGAACTCAATCTATGTGTCTTGATTTCAACTTCATGGTAAGTGACGAAATCTAGTCTACTTCGAAATTCAGAGGAATGACGACCTATTCTTTATAGTGTAATCTGGGCCATAAGCTCAAAAAATTCCATTTTTTCTCGAACAAAGTGTAAAACGACGCATTAGTCTCTGATACAGCGATTTATGCTGCTACAAACCTACGCTTCTTACAAGCAAGAATAAAGCACAATTCAGAACAACGAAAGGAATCTTCGGGTGATTACAGTTTCGTTCAACTTCTTCTTGACCTGCTTTTCTACGCTCTGTATTGAAGATTTCATTACGAACAGGTCCGCTGTACTTAATTGTGACTTCGTGGGCATGGCGCATCTTCAGCTTCTCATAAACTGCATTTATTACTCATTTATCTGCTCATCTGTTTAATTTGCTCCATTATTTGCCTTTTATCCTCCAATTTATATCCGGATGAGGCTGTCTCACGTCTATTCTGGGAGAAGAATCTCGTCAATCCTTGAGTGATTCGAGCTGCGAAGTGTCCGAGATGCCCAGCGGATTCCGTTAAGTTGATGGTCACAAACAGCATCACATTATTCACGAGAAACAAGAAATCACCTATGAGTAGTTTGTTATGTTCTGCCACTAGGTTGGATACAGTGCCAAGTAGATTGGCGATATTTCACGGAACAGATATTAGGATGGAAGTCTCGCGAACCTCGTTCCATTCAGTCGATCACAATCTGTACATATACAAGAAGCCAAGCACCAAGACTACCCAGTAGTATTATAACTTTAATAGGAACAGTATATATCAGTATGACGCAGAATAGAAAGGGTAACGTGGGCGCTCAATCAACTGTTCGTAACATTAAGTCTAGTCAAGCAGCGCCGCGACAAGGCAGCTCTAGATCCCGACCTCATATGAGGAAGATCCGTGATAAACCTGATATATCAAGGTAAGAAAGAAGCATTAGATGTTGATCGATCCATGATGGAATCGCCATGAATTCGATTTCACTAAACATGCGCTAGAGGTGAGTGTACGGATATCTGACCTACCGATGCATCAAACGAGTGCTACTATCCTCCAAGACAAGTCTGGTACCAATTTGCCGACCCCTGAAGAATAGAAGGTTTGGTGAACTAGGGGCGTGGGATCGAACTAGTGGTCATCCATCGTAATGCATCTCTAACCATTGCGATAAACAATCTCCTAATTCGATATCACTACTTCTTTCCCACCTCTATATGTGTCTTAGATTTATGTAATAAGGGTTAAAAAGGATAAAGTTCACGGCGTTGATCAATCCCTGAGTGATGCGCCGTGCGTTCGACTTCATTAAGTGTCGTTGGAGGTGAGTGAATGCACATCTGGCCTTTACAATGACTCGAGGCGGCCTACCGATATATCGAGCCAGTACTGCTATCCTCCCAGACAAGTCTGCTACCAATTTGTCGATCCCGCAGGGATTGAAGGCTTGGTGAGCCACGGGCGCGGGGATCAATTCCACGTGTGTATCGCAGTGGCGCCTGCAGCCACTGCGCCACACGCACCTTATTTATGCAATCGACTACAATATCGATAGAGAATCTGCCGAAAAAGTTTCCTTATAGTTGAATGAATAATTTTAGGAGAACGACGTCGAAAAGAAGGGACGATTGTGTTGCTGTCGTGGAACTCTTAAGTGTAATGAACGTTTTTTGTGGAGTGATGAGGCCATAACAAAGGTGAATCAAACGATTTTTACGAATGTTTAGAGACAGAGAAAAATATAGATCGTTTCAAACACTGCATTGGAGTTGTTTGGAACTATTTTCTCTTCAAGATAGCTTTTCCGCCTATCCTGTTACAACTCCTTAACAAAGTTTTCTTCAGAAAATGTTCTTGCAGTTTGGTCAAATCACAATTTTTTCTCACAAATTACGAAAAAGCGATAGTCGTAATCATTTCGGATACCTAAGGCTTCCAAAAAAGCATGTACCAGTTTGATATTTCTTCACTACTGGTTATAGCTATGATGGACACAGCAAATTCTGCTTCTTGCTACTGCGCCATCGTTCATTGTTATACCAGCAGCACATACCTTGGACCTCACGATCGAAGCCACTAGAGTTTCGCTGACGACGAAAAACATCATCCAGGCATGACGAGATAGAAATTTGTAGAGATATTAGAGATAGGTAGATAGGTAGGATGACAAATAACCCGATGGGCTCCACATCAGTTAAGTCACACACAACACAAATCACCCTATCTGTCTATCCTTCTTCCAGTCGCTGCTGTACTCGTGGACGAGAAGTCATAATTGCTCGATAATCTGCTACATCGAAAAGTGCAGCGCTTTCCGCCAACTGCAAGGAGAACATCCTTTCTAGTCGACCGAAACAGGATCCACATGCCCACAATTTCGTCGCAGGTAACTAGTGTAAGCGTGGGAGTATCGAGGCATGTTGTAGCTATAAGGAACGGTTGAACAAGTCAGTATCAACTGGCTTAATGCCATAACGAAGAACGGACGAGACCAAGTCAAAGTTGTTACCGCGACGACATAACTTGACTTTACGACAGTACGTCAAAAAGTTCAGACGTTCAAAAGTCCCATGTTTTGAATATAGCCCAAGCCTTACAAAGTCTAAAAGTCATCTTCGCCGAGGTTTTTCCTAGGCAGTTTTCCAATTTCGACAACTTCAAAAAAATCAAATTCACAAAGACCTCCGTCCAGCGCTCTTCATTTCCTGGCCACAAACTTCTGAAGAGAAACACGCGCTGTCGTTCCTGATGCTTGACTCTAGTGATCTATCAATACATTTATCAAGTCGATCGGAAGCGTCTTTATGAAAAGATAGAGGCCGGAAAGTCTTCCTTAATACACCCAATAATATTTCCAAAGATCTACTACTGAAGTGATTAATAGGATTATAAAGTAAACGAAATTCCTCATTGTGTTATACGAAAGGTCAGGAAGTGCTCTTTTTATGATTCAGACTGATAAAAATCATACGAACTCGTAAAAATGGCGATCAGTCTAAAAACTAGAAACGGTGGACAGATTCGGAATCTGATGTCTATTAGCGTTATCCAGTATAGTTAATGGTCGATAGTTAGCTGTTTACTGGAATGAAAAACGGCTGATTTCTCAAAATATACCCGATTTTGGATGAACTAGAGAAATTTTTTTTATTCAGGAAAATCTGGACAAAATTCTACGTAAAAGAGATCAACAAGCCCACCTTGTCAGTAAACCTTCATCGATTACCTACGTTCTGCTAAGTTTCACAATTCAAATGATTATTTTGAGGTTGTTCCAGAGCTGCAACTAATCCACAAGCAATTTCAATGTTTATATCAGCTAGATAAGCACTCAGCATACAATAAAGCTTTTGATATTGTAACCTACACAAACATTACAAGAACACCAGCTATTTCTTCGAATTTTCGATTAAAATTGAGCAGTATGTCAAATTAGTGCACGTGTGAACCACTTCATGTTCGTCCCTGTTAGTCCGCCTTCAATCGGAGTTTGTCGATCAGTTAGTTGACTTATGGCAGCCATCGCTATAATGTTGGTTGTTCTGGAAGAGCCCTAGTGACAAGACAACAAATCTAGCTCGATTGCAGAAAGAACATTAAGGAGCGCATTTGTTCATGGCTTTTTCAAAATCCCAGCTAGAAACGCGATCGACCAGCGTTCAACATATTTACGAACAGAGATGTTCACAGTAACTCAAGCCGTAGCTGACAAACCAACGAGCCCGTCTACCTACGTGGACGACCATTTGAAAGAATGAAATGGACGGAAAAAGTGCTGAGATCCGCTTGTTCTAGGAAGATAGGCCCTTTGAAGATCTACATAAGTAAGGTTAATTCCCACATATCTCCCTCATGTTACGAATCTCGAGCCAGTTGCGTAGGTGCCGCTCGGTAATGGAAGGCACATTGAAGCAGCTTCACTCGCCTTTAGAAGAAAAGGAAGTAGATTCAAAAGTAGGACTCATGGTCTCCATCGAACCTAAATGACGTATTATTATGCCTTCGAGTCACTACATTCACTACACATTCATGCATAGAGGCGGGTGTGTCCTAGCATATTTGCATATTATATATTCTATTATGTTATACATATTATATATTCTTCACGTCGTCGATTCCGCCAGCGATCTGCAACGAAGTGGCTCAGAACTAAGCAATATGCAGCCGGAGTTACTTTCAACAATGACGCGTCATCTCTCATGAGAGACCAATAAGCTACCACGACCGAGACCGAAGTTCCAACGAATATCGATTACTTTTATTTAACAAAAAGAAAAAATTAGGAAATAGTGTTGAGGACGGGTTCTGTCACTCTATAAAACGCTGTTTTCTCAGAAATTGCTATGCTTCGTTTCTAAAAGCAAAACATCTCCAACAATTCATAAATTGCACAATAGCCCTCAAACCTTACAGAATTATGAAGACGCTCATGCTGGTTGAATATCCTAGATTGCCCATTTGGGTCATTTAGAATAGAGATAATGACAGAGGATGTGGAAAGTATCTTATTTTTTCCCATTATCGACTTCCTATTAACCTTAACACTGGGATATGAATACGACATTTTCTTGTTCAGCAATCGCGTGGTTGTTATACAGCATATATTTACTTCCATAGAAAAACACACAATAAAATACAATACAACTAGCTGATGTTTCGGCAGAATCGCCTTCTTCAGAGCCTGGAAGGACATACTGATATACAACCTACTAGGTCAAACTCTTGAATAACACAAAAAGACGAAAAACTCGGTGGCAATTAAATGATCAACAGCTTTTCGAAACACTCATCGCTTTTTTAGTGGCCTGGTTGCTTGTGACCCTGTGACCAGCTACTGTTGTGTTGTATTGTATTGCGTTTTTCTATGTAAATAAATGTATGCTGTATAACAATCTCGCGATTGTTGTATAAGAAAACGACGCATCTTATTCTTTATCTTTTCTTCTCTGTAGAAAGTATCACCCACACCACGGCGGTTGTAGAGTAGGGTCAGAGATACCTTGGGCGGCACATGTTTTTTGTTTCATA